ATTCAGGCAGCACCATTAAATCAAAACATTATCAAAATTGCAGTATGGTCAGCCCTGCGACTTTGGAGATAATGGTCAGCTTGTTCTTGTTACTGTTATTTTTCTTTTTTTTTTTTCTATCATATTATTTTATGTTGATGTATTTGCACTTTATTTTACGACCTTATTTGATCCTACCTCTGTGCCCACTTTAACATCTGATCCCTTTTGGATCTCAGTATATTGCGCATAATTGTTAAATTCAGAAAAATGAGCCTCAAATGTAGATGTTGATTATATGTGGAATCCATCTGCTCAGTAAAAAATATTGAAATTAAAAATTGCAGTATGGTCAGGTGAATATCCAAATCACAGGAGCTGCAATTTTTGATAAAATTAATGAAGTATTGTGGTGCTACAGAGATGCCACAGCCTACAAATCATATTTTAGACATAAGGGAACATGCTTGGTTGGTACAAATCCCAACTATATATACATATGTTTTTTTTTTTTTCCAGTGAAAATGAATTTTAAAAAATTGTTCTCACTTAAATCGCATGTTATATCGCAACAGCTGTCAAAATTATCACAATCTGATTTTTTTTTATCATGCAGCCCTAATTGTAGTAGATGAAGCTACCCGACATAAGATAAAGTGGCTTAAATGAGCTCCACCTCCACCAGCTACAAACATTAAAATGCTGCCTGTGTTTGTGAATCAGTATAGCAACGCAATAATGTAATATATGTAATGATATGTAGTCATTCTGCAAAGTGAGCACAAATTTTATACTTGATGATGAGATGTTTGCACTTCTGCTTTAGTAAAATGTTGAATTTAGGGCTTTAACTTGTAGTGGAGAGATGTTATAGCGTGTTATTAGTACTTAACTAAAAGATCTTAATGCTTCTTCCACCACTGTTCTTACTCCTTTTTACCTTTGAACTTGTCAAGTCCTTTCCTTTCTCCGAGGCACGTCTCGGAGGAAAGTAACAGAGAAAGAGAGGAGGCGGAGGAGGAGAGGGTGGGGGGGGGGGGGGACAGAGCAATGGGGGCAGCGGAGAAAGAATAGCATAGTATGAAAGAGAGAGGGAGCGACAGAGAGAAAGGGAGCGCAAAGTCTTGTCAACCGGAAATAAAACAAGCTGGCACCCTCCCCATCCCCGAGCCCCAACACCCACCCCAAAGTCACATACTTCCTCTTCACTCTCTCTATCTCTCCCCTCTGCCTCCCTGCTCCCATCTTCCATCTCTCTCTTCTTCTCTCCCTCTCCGCTGCAAAGGGATATATTTAAACCCCCAGTTCTACTCTGCTCCGGCTCTTTGACTCCACCATACATACCGTCATACCTGCGTCATTACTTACGCCTCACATCAGACCTTGTGTGTCTGCCGTCAAGGGTTTCTGTATGGTGCTCCTTTAACCTGCTCTGGGGCCAGACGATGCCTTTGTTTATTGTCCCGTGGCTTTAAGCACAGTGTTATAGCAGGAGAACAATATCTCTGTAGTCAGGGAACAATACACAGGTGCTCTGGGAACAGCTGTTATTCAATGTCTGCATTTTTAGGCCTTTTGTTAAAGAATAACTGGTGGGAACTATCTGCATATCTCCAACTCCTTTACAGCACTGTAGGCCTCAAACACTGGTGTTAAAGGATTAACATAGCAGGGGCAGAACAATAGCTGATTAAGAAAAAAAGCTACAATTTAAAGTGGAGTAATTTTTCAAACAGAAACACCAAACATTTTCAGCTTGACAAATTTGATCATTTGCTGCTTTTTCTTACTTATTTATGAAATAAATTTTGGCTATCTTTGGGTCTAGGACTGATCGCTGAAAAAGAAAATTTTTAAGACAATTGTTGACATTTTTCTGTATTTTTTGACATTTTATGGAACAAACAATTAACAAGTTAATCAAGAAATAAATCTGCAGATAATGAAAACACTTAATTGTAGCCCTCACTCGGAGACAAACAAACACAGAGCATGCTTTCGTAAAACTTAATACTGTCCATAACAACAAAAACCAGAGGATCTGCAACCTTTGTGATGATAACAGTGTGGGAGATGAGTATTATATTTTGTTTAAATGTCAGAATGGAAGCTTGATAACTTACAGAGAAAGGTTTTCACCAAAGTATTATCAAACCGTCCATCTATCTTTAAATTAATTTTGTTTAAGTAGCATTGGTTTGCCACGCCATGTGCCATTGTTTTTTTATTATATTTAATATTTGCAGTCCATACCATGTGATATGGTTGTGAGTCAAATAAATGAAATGAACAAATAAAATAAATGAACAATTTTGTGAGGGTTTTTTTTAATCAATAATAATTTATATTATGAAATGATTTAGTTTTTTAATGTTTCAAAATTAGCTAAAAATCAAACAGATATTACTTAAATTTATTGAACAAATATCTTCATCCATTATGGTTAAATATTATCTTGCTAGACATTAACATCTTTATCACATTAGTATATCCGATAACATTAAATAATTCAATGAAACAAGTTGTCAATAATCTGAACATACTCCTCTTTCACTATATGTGGTCACAGAGAAGTTGTAATATGTTTTAATGATGAATGATACAGACTGAAACATGATCTTTTTTATCTTTATCAGTGTCTCTAACAGACAATAATATGATCTGTTATTAAGCTATCATTATAATCATTATAATTAAAAAAAAATCAACCAAATAAGGTATTTTATACTTAATATTGCTATGTATAATTGGAGAAATATCTCTCACTACATTTATTTGTTAATTATATGTTGATAACATAAACATAAATGATTTGGCTAAAGAAATCAAAACTTTAAATAGTGGTGTAATGTGAGGAAGGGAGATGTTAAGTATTCTTCTGTATGCAGATGACATAGTTTTACTGTCTCCATCTGAAGAAAAAATGCAGCAGACGCTTTCTTACACTAATGAGTGGTGTAAAAAATGGAGACTGTCTATTAACCAAAAGAAGACTGAAATAATTCATTTTAGAAAACCTTCAATTATCCGCAGTACTTACCAGTTTAAAGTTGGATCACATAAATGAATTACGCAGATTCTCATAAATATCTCAGTTTCTATGTTGATGAACACATGAATTTTATAGAAGTTGTTAAAGTTCTCTCTGGGAGGAATCATTGGTAAGAGTAAAAAATTTGAAAGATATGAGCTTCCAAACATATTCAAAGCTGTTTGTGTATGTCCAGTGCTCGATTATACTGCTGGGGTTAGGGGCCTCAGAAATATTTCTGTGTGTGAATCAGTACAAAATAGTGCTGTAAGATATTTCCTGGCTGTGCACAAATATATTCCAACGCTGTAAGATATGTATAGTTCAGTTACGGAATCGGTTACTTGATATGGAGGAAAGCAGGCTGATGAAGCAAGTATTTATTTGGGATAAACAAACTATTGGTTCCTGGTCTAAGCATGTGCGTACATTATTTTGTAGCTCTGGGTTTGTCAATACCTTTTAAATTACGAAAACTTTAACACTAATTTGTTTAAAGACTCTATGTTTGCTAAGGAAAAAGGACAGTGGGCTGAGGTTATATGGACTAAACCAAAATTGCGCACTTGTACGAGGATAAAAACTGAATATGGAAAAGAGAATTATGTTGAATATAATTTGTCTAAAAAGCAGAGATCTTTATGTGTCCAGCGGAGATCTGGTATTTTACCTTTGACTGTGGAAACTGGATGGTATGTTAATTTAGAAGAAGAAAGGCGGATTTGTCCAATGTGTTGTGTAAATGATACAGAAAATGAGTTTCATTTTGTGAAAGCCTGGGAGAAGAGGAAAAAAGCTCTTTATCAAGATAATGTATAGATATATGATAGTTATGTTATATATATATACCTATGTATTGTCTGTGTTTCTTTTTCTTTTTCCACATGTTTTGTATGCAAGACCAGAAGATGTACGTTTTGTAAAAAGTGGTGTCTTGTAATCCCATGAGGGATGGGCCAAATGACACAACACAGAAATAAATAAAAAATAAATAAAATGTATGTTGACAAGATAAGAAAAATCAACATATCAACATGTTGTTAAGCCTAATATTCATTCCCTACTAATCATCTATCTCTTAATTCTTGCCTAAAATATCTGCTTCTGTGTGCAGTTGCTGAATGCAGTATTTTATGATAGCAGGTACACATGGACACGTCAGAGCTTTATCAAAGTTTTAAAGCATCTAAATGAGGATCAATAAAAATGAGTCCATGCTTGTGGGAACAGAAACCTTCCTGTCTGTATGCATGTATTTTTTTTTAGATTAAGAGAAGGAAATTATAATTTAAAAGGATTGTTTATTCATGAAACATGTAAAGTGAGAATGTAAAATACAGATGTGTTTTTTTGGGAGTCAAGTAATGGAATGGACTCAGTGCTGATTTGAAACTATATAGCTCTCTGCTGAGTTTTTAAAAAGCCTTAAAATGTGTGGATTATAATTTAGAGTATAATTTATTTATTAATTTATTTATTTCCTGTTTTTGGTATAGTTGATATTCTGGGTTATTTTTTGGTTGATATAGGATAGGCAATAATTAGCCTGGGGTTTCAGCCTGTTCCTTTTTTCGGTTACTGACTGTGAGAAAATTTGTGTAAATAATCTTTGTTTTTCCAGATGTATGTAATCGAAATAAGAATTATTTATTCATTCATATATTCATCTAACAGTATCAGTCATCTGGTTGCAGGTGTGTTTGGGTTAAAAAAAAAAAGTAACACACTCATCTGCTGATTATTCTTCGTATTAATGTGAAATTTATGGTCAAAATTGAGCTCCATCATCTATTTATCATCCACTATCTCTCCATTATCTGTACTTTATGCTCCACTCTCTCAGCCTCCCCTCCTCCTCTCGCTGGCATTAAGTTCAAACTTGACACTGATGTTGACTCACTTTGTCACCCCTCGGTGGCTCCCTCTCTCTCTCTCTCCCTCTCTTTCCCTCCCTCTCTTTCTCTCTCCCTCTCTCTCTCCATCGCTTGGAGGACAAGAGTGCCCGCAGACGCATTTCTCTCCAGAGCCCCCCCTCTCCCTCTTTCACTCTCTCTCACCCTGTCTAACTCTCTCCATCTCTCTCCGCTACACTCTCGGCTTTACACACACACACACACAGTTATTGTCAACAAAGCTGGAGAACTAGGGACACAGGGGGAACAGGGGAATAAAGGTCCACGGAGGAGGAAAGTAACACACAGGACGCGGCGCATCATTTCACCTGGACACTTGGTAAGTTTGCAAAACACAAAAAAAACTAGTCTTTCTAGTGCTTTTATGTGTGTAAGGTCACTTTTTCAATGCGGGCTGAGGTGGAGGCTTCAGGATCAAGTTACTTCACCATCACAGAATAACCTCTAGATTGTAATTGAAAGTCAGATGAATGCACTGTTGTTACGGAGCTGCCTCGTCCGAATGAATGAAATTTGACCTTTGACATTGTGCCACTGCAGATTTGGCTCAGTATTGACATACCTTTGCATTCCTTTTTCACTCTGCAAAGAGGACATTTAAAAAAAGGGGGAATGTAAATAAGATAAGAGGAGAAAAGAAAGCTTTTATTTATGTCAGACCAGGCAGATAATGATATTTGTGGACACACTTGTGCACACGATGTCTTGCAGTGAAAGTTAAACATGGACTTGGTTTAAATGGGATCTTGCTCATAAAGCTGCCGCGCAATGCCAGTTCGTGGCTACATGTAAATGCGGTGTCTTTCCATGCATACGTGTGTGTGTGTGTGTGTGTGTGTGTGTGCATGCAAAAAGATAGAGCTAAAAGCAAGTAGCATAATAAATGTCATGGCTTTCAGAGTGGGTTCTAATGTACCTTCGCTCCCCATGGTATACCAGCGTACCAATGTATAACACACACACGTTACGACAGCGGGCTTGTAACTAACTCCATTTCTGTCTGTCATCATGAGGCTAATTCGCCACAATGCCGACCATGTGTGAACTCATGCGATCTCAACCCCTCCTTCTTCTCCTCTCCCTCTAACCCCCACCACCACCCCTCCAGGAGGAAGGACTGGAGGACTGAAGGGGGGAAAGAGGAGCCAAAAGGTGACAGTAAACAGGGGTGGACACGCACAGGACAGGACTCCTTTATTTCTCTTCATGGTGGTTTTGACACTCGTAGTATGTATGAGAAGTTAACCATGCTGAACCTGCAGAGCGGCTCAAACTGGAGCGGGCCTAACAACTGGTACCATGACCCCACCGGCGTTCAGACGCAACACAGCACAGGTGAGGGAGCAGCTTCTCACAGATCATCAGTTCAGTGTCCCCAGATTTAAACCGCATTAAAGGGTCACTTGTGGCTTCACTCACCAACTTCTGCACATCCTGTTATTCTAAAAAAATGTGTCGTTGCTCCATTTTCGTAATACTCTTTTGTCGCCTTCCTCTTTGACCAGTGTCTGAGGGTTGTCTGCTGGACACGGAGGGCAGCCTGGGTGGGGAGGCAGGGGGAGGAGGGACGGGCAGAGGGGGAGGAGTCCCCGTGGAGAGGGACGAGGGCGAGGAGTCTCAGCTGAGGCTGCAGCTCAAGAGGAAGCTACAGAGGAACCGGACCAGCTTCACGCAGGAGCAGATCGAGGCTCTGGAGAAAGGTCAGGCCAATGCAAGCACGCACAGCTCTCTCCCTTCTCTCACAGCCAATCGCCGCCCTCCATGAGCACAAGCCAGACTGGAGTGTGTCATGACGCAGCTTGCCCTGCTGCTTTTTTCCCCTGCCAACACCTTTGTTACTGGATTATAGCCTTTACACCTTGTTTACAGCTTCTTGGTAAATGGCAAGGGGCGTAAATATGAGACATTTTTTTGGGGCAGGACAGGATTTTTATCATGAGAGAGCCACCCATGATCCCTTAAAGATGCAAATCATCCAGAATCTTAACTCCACAAATATTCCTTATCTGCTCCAAAAAAGCCTCGGGCAGCGTGCACAGCAGAGTTTTGATAATGCATCATTACTGTGGTTGTGTTATGCAGCGAGATCCGGCCCTCGTGGCCCGATATCCGCTGAGAGGGATCAGAAAGCCACCCTTGACTGGATATGGCTGCAGCGGGGCCCTTGAGCTAAATAAGGACGCAATGTCCACTGTGCAGCCGAGTGGAAATGTATCACTGTGGTCACTCTGTGCAAATGACATTAATGAGGTACACTGACCTCAGTGCGCGGCCAAGGCACAATAACAATCATGTGTTGACACAGACGCCAATTATAACCAAGCCAATTAGAACAATTTGTGAGACAGACTTAATTTATAGAGCCAGTGTTGTAATCTCTGGGCAATATGGGTTTATTAACCATGTGTTACCAGTGGGAACTTTAATCTGCAGTTATTTACAACACTGGTAACCAGTTAATATTATAGGCACAATAATATATGTGTTAAAATGACAACATAATGAGCATTTCAGATGTAATCAACTCAACTGATTTGTTTCCTCTGCTGCCATTTTATCGACATGCTAAACTAATGTTAAGCATCATAAGTGCAGGCAGCAAAATCCATAAAGATCGCTCCATTACCAGACCTGAAAATTCAGAGTTCATTAGGATGATTCAGGCTGTCAGTTAGAGGGTGAGGCATATTCTCGTTCTGACTTGTCAACAACAAAAATGTCAGTCGTTTGTCAACTTTTTAATGAACTCCCACAATGAGGAATGATTCTTTTATAGAGAAAAGTTTTATTGATACGTACTCACAACTTACTCTGTGTCTGTTATATATGAGAGACACAACGCCAAATTTAGATCTATAGAATAAACAATGACAAATGAGAGCCTATGAGGGTTTCTCTTCAGCTTAATTTTAGTCAGCCTACTTTGAAATAAAGTGCTTAGGCAGCTTCTCGACATGAATCCTTTCGTTTGAACTTTCTGCGTGTTCCATAATGTTAAATAATTTATACAAAGTGCAACAGATAAATATTTCAAATCTGGTTGTAAGGATACATCTCAGCGTCCTGGATTTGTGTGTATTCCATGACAAGATAATTAGTGATGACGATTTTAAGCTGTAATTATCTGACACACGGGTTAATATCTGTCCAAATAATGTGATAATTAATAGGTGATTTAATTTAAGTAAAAAGGGGAAGGTGTAAATTTAATTTAATTTAATGCCATTAATTCTTCATTATGTGCATCCCTTTTGGAAAATTGCTAACAAGGACTGCAATAAATGACTGTTAAACTAAATTAATTTGCTTTTGAATGGATGTGAAGCTTGTGCTTTGTTTTCACATAAACCGATAAATTAAAACATGTTAACACCACACAGCAAGGGTTTCTTAGCCGAGCTGCTCCCCAATAGTCCTGTCACCCTTGATTAAGACTCTCACTGTGTGTTTGACATTAGTTAATATCATCCACAGAGTTTGAAAGGACACATTACCCAGATGTCTTTGCAAGGGAGAGACTGGCAAACAAGATTGATTTACCAGAGGCGAGGATACAGGTAAAGGAACTCTTGTCGTTTTTATGCGTCTGACGCTCACCCTGTAGCAGCATGCAGCTTGTCGTGATAAGGAAGTCTGACTCTCTGACTTTCTGACTGACAGGTGTGGTTCTCAAACCGAAGAGCCAAGTGGAGGAGGGAGGAGAAGCTGCGCAATCAAAGGAGGTCAGGGGGGGTGACTTCCTGTTCACAGAGCCAAGCCCCGCTGACCACTTCCTTCAACACATCCGTCTATCATCAGCAGCACGGCAGCAGTTCAGGTAAACACCAGGTCACCACACTGCAACACATTCATTATAATCTCTCTCATTATATACGTCTTCATAGATTCATTCATGTAGCACATCAGCAATACCTTAAGTAAGAGTTTACATCTGCTGTGTATGATTTATACATGTGCCGACAGACATATATAACCAGTTTATAATTACAAACCTCAGAGTGACATTTGCAGGCAGGCAAACCATTAGAGTTTCTCCATTAGAGCGCATCTATATTACAACGTTTCCACTGCGAGATGTTCCCGTCACTTGTGTATAAATGTGTGTGTGTGCGCTCACCATCTCGCTCTGTGTGTGTGTGTTTCTCTCCAGGGTCCATGTTGAGTCAGGCTGAGTCGTCCCTGCCCAGCTACAGCTCCCTGTCAGTTTTCTCATCGGGAGTCCAGGTTGGACTATTCATCATTCATCATTCATCAGCACCTTCCAAACTTTAGCAAAGCAGGTCATCACCACAGAGCAGAGAGCGTTCGTTAACTCCTTTATATCAGGATTATAAAACACACAATAGCCAAAATAAATACATAAATGAAGATTACTGCAGATATAAATACCACTCCCACAGCTACTACTTCTAGTATTATGAACATAATTTATTCTTCCTCCTATCAAAACTCTTAATATATCGTACTATTGTTATGCAAGCAAAATAACTTACATTTATAATATTATTTGAAAAAAAAAAGCAGATTTTCAACTGTCTAAGCAACATTTTGGTGTTAAAGCTTCACTGTGTGAGGAGCACAAAGAATATAAAGCTCTAGCCATTGTTTGAAGATCATCAGGAATTAAATCAGATATGTTTTTTGACCAAAGTTACAAAACTGCCTTATCCAGACAGATTTATTAAAGCTTCAGACACTAGGGAGGACAAATCACATTATTCATCATCTATATTGCTTTGAATGCATCAAATTTATCAGCCCGGTATGCAGTATGAAATACGCAGTGTTTTATTTCTTTATTTCACATGTTCATGCACGGGCAGGTCTGCCCACTGAAATGGCTCGGCCCTTGACAAGCTCCAGTAAATTGGCCCACTACAAATCTGTTACATATAAACTAGGCATGCACGTGCTTGTTCTCTTTTAGCTTAGATCAGTAAATTTCTCAGGTCATGTGGCGGGCCTCCCACGTTGCACACCAAAAATGACTCATATATTATTTTCAGGAAAGGGGGGCTTCATTATGAAAGAGGCTATGTTTTTACTGAGGCAACAATAAATTTGTTGTTTTAATGAGGTAATGGTGAATATTTTGGTGAAGAAAAAAAATCACTGCTTATATTTAGGATGAACATGATCACTGCTCCAGGTTTTCCCCCTAATGGGCAGCCCCTGTGCTCAGGTGCAGGAGTTCAAAACTGATCCATTAAATTAAAAATATAATTCAACATCTATGCATTAAATATTGTTTTCTGCATAAATCACCATGTACGGACTTTTCAGTTTGTCTCTTGATTCTTGTTTAGTTATCCTTTCTTCCTTATTTGACTACCCAGACAGTTATTAGTCTTCCAGTGGTCTGCACAAAATAGTAACAATAATATAGAAATATTGATTAATTGATTATAATTAAAAGTTTCAATGGAGGAAGAAAGAGCAGCCGAACATAAAGATCAGAAAGGAAGTGAAATAAATCTGCATGTGTAATGCAAAGACTTTGGGCTACTGCTCTGCTTTACTCCGACCATACAACACTACTTTAGCGCCTCCATGTGGTTAAACTGCTGTCATTACTTTAAACTGCCTTTACAGTACATGGTGCAGTGGACAGCAATGGCTATGTACAACTTTTGAAAGAGGTTTTCTTAGATAATATAGTTTGTTATTTCAATATAAATCTAACCTAAATCTTCCCCCCTCTCTCCTCCACTCTTTCAGTCTATTCCTCCCCAGTCGGCCTCCTCCTACTCCTGCATGTTACCTCCATCCCCCTCTGCTCCGCGCAGCTTTGACTCATCGGCGTACTCCTCCCCTCATCTGCAGACTCCGTCTTCAGCCAACTCCAACACCGGTGAGTGTATCTGAGGTAGATATAGGTTTATTCAACAGGGGTGGAGACATTTACTCTGTGTGTGTCTGTTATGTTTGCTTGCTGCAATGCACAGTAAATGAAACTCTGCTAACTGTCTTTGTTTGTCTTCTGCCTCTCTTCCACCCAGGGCTCATATCGCCCGGCGTTTCAGTGCCGGTCCAGGTTCCAGGAACTGAGCAGCAGAGCATGAGTCATAACCTGGGTCAGTACTGGGCCAGATTACAGTGAACAACAGACAATCGCTGCAGACCGGCGAAAGCTAAAGGAGGAGGAAAAAAAAGGGCATGTAACAAAAAAGTGTCGAGAAAACAATATGGGGACTCACGGGTTTTAAAGAAGCACAGGACTGAGCTATAGAGGGGGGCCTCAATGAGTTGCAGACCCCGAAATGCATTAAATGTTTACAAATTCAGCCAAGAGCAGCTTTGGTTGCACTTGACAGTACTCGGGTCATACTGGTATTTGCTTAGTATTATAGGGTTGAGCTTTTTGTTTGCATAGTGTGTTAAATCATAGGGCTGAGGTCAGGATTAGAAATAGGATTAGTCTGAGGTGTGTTCAGGATTAAATTAGAGTCAGGATTAGATTCAGGCTTTACTTAGGGTTTAGGTCACACTGTGCAGAGTTGCAACATTTAACGGTGCTTTTTATCGCTTGGTAGTTGAGAATAAGCACTGGAGCCTTCAAAAGTTTTACGATATGTTATTGTTTTAAACATTTTGGCTTTCATTTAGACTGAAAACGTGTCTGCCTAAACCTTTAAATACACCATGAGATGTGGTTGAAAGCTCTGGAGAGCCAGTAAGCAGACTTTTGAGCACTTGTTACGTATGTTTTAACAACTTTTATCGATAGAGGTGGCAGAGGACTGCTTTGAGGTTTGAATTATAAAGAGGTCAGAAAGTCGGCCTGATGTTACTACAAGCTCTCGGCCCATAAATTTAAAGGTGCAGTGTGTAAGATTCAGGGGGATTTATTTGTAGAAATGGAATATAATATAATAAGTATGTTTTCTTTAGTGAATAATGACCTGAAAATAAGAATCGTCATGGTTTCGTTACCTTAGAATGAGCCATTTGTATCTACATAGGGAGCAGGTCGTCATCCACGGAGTCCGCCATGTTGCACGGCCATGTTTCTACAGCAGCCCAGAAGGGACAAACCAAACACTGACTCTACAGAGGGCCATTTGTGTTTTTGCGTTGGCCACCATACTTAGCAGCCCCTCTGTGACAAGCCGAATAGCATTGGAAAAACACTGATTTTTAACATGAAACGGCTTTTTTCAGTGTTTTTATTCGTTTAAATCACTGGGTGTGTTTGTTTTGGAGAGGAAGAGACCTCTGCGGATAATTCAGCTCCCGGTAAAAACCTCCTGAAGGTTTGGATTATAAATTATTAGAGGCATTAGCAGGTGTTGGTCTAGCAGCCCATCTGCAATGTGTCGAGTAGCGTTGGAAAAACACTGATTTGTAACGTGAAACTGCCTCTTTCAGAGTTTTTACTGGTTTTTGATCACCTTTGTTTTGCAGAGGAAGAGACCTCTGCGGATATTTCAGCTTCTAGTAAAAACCTAAACATTCAGCTGGGTCTGCGACGTGCCGAATAGCATCCGAGAAACACAGATTTGTGTGAGCACACATTAGCAGGTGTTGGTCTAGCAGCCCATCTGTGTTGGAGAAACACTGATTTGTAACACAACCCAGCAAGCATTTTTTGGTTTAAAAAACGTCTAATAGCCGTCTACATGAAGACCTGACGTCTAGGCTAAATCACGGCTGAATTTGGGCTGTCAGTGAAAATTTGGTAGACATCTAACCATAGCCAAAGTGTAGACATCATCAATTATACAGCTATGTAGATACCATGTCCAAAAAATGGAGATAAACATATTTTAATTACTGTTGACTCTCCATACATGATTGAATATCATACCGCACGCCATCTGCAATGGCGAAAATTACATTTAATCAATTTCAAAATTAAATCGGCTAGATTTGGGTTACATGTAGCTAGACTAAATCGGAGCTAAATATAGCCAATACGTTTAAATGATGATTGCTTGCTGGGAACACTGATTTATTCAGTGTCTTTACCGGTTTTAATTCACTTTTGTTTTTGAGAGGAAGAGACCTCTGCGGATTTTCCAGCTTCGAATCTTACGTTATCAGAGAAAGAAGTCCACCATGTGCCAGATAGCATTGGAGAAACACTGATTTTTAACATGAAACTGCTTTATTCAGCGTTTTACCAGTTTAAATCACTGGTTCAGTTTGTTTTAGAAGGGAAGAGACCTCTGCGGATACATCGGCTCTCAGTAAAAACCTCCCGCGCAATGAACACTGAAGGAATCCTAAGTTGGAGTTCACATTTGGAACACAGGAAAAGTTTCAGCTGGCTGCACCACTAGATGGCACTAAATCCTGCACACTGCTCCTTTAAATGTAGGATTTTTTTTTGCTCATACATGCAGAACAAATGGCACGGTTATCACTAGAATTCTACCACACACAACTGCTTCAGTAAGTGATTGAGTATTACTAAGTAAATGCCAGCAGATGTCTGTATTGTGAAGTGTAACCACAGTTTCTTGTTACTTGAGCAGCTCAATGATATTGTGATAGCAAGCTTGTTCCCTAAGCTGTGTGAGGCTACTGTGAAGATTTTAGACTTGCTTATGGCAATCACTTTTATTAAAACTTAAAAAAAACATACCATAAAAAACAAAAACAAAGTACATCCTGCCTCCCCTGCCAGCAACATTACACTAAGACTGATATTGCATATTTTTGTACAGACATCCGTGTATGATGAAGATAAGTATGGAATATTGTCAGATGTTATTGGAGGGAAGAATGTAGCACGTTGTGGACTCAAATCATCCTCAAAGCACAAAAACAATATCATTAGGGATGCTCCCTGTCTCAGCTTTGTATTAGATATGTCTGATACAAAACTGAACATAAAAATATACATAATTACAGGTGAGTTTGCCAAAAAACTACAGTAAATCAATTAGTTTTTCTGTTTGTTTTATATACATATATATATTTTATCGGATCTATCAAAAGAAGAACATTAGCAATTCAGTTACAGATTTAGCAGTGATACATACGTTGGATTGGCAGGGACCTTTTTGTAAAGAACCATCAGCCAGTGACAATCAAGCATCATTACACAGCAAACAAAAAGCCTTCAAACAATCAAATGCAAACACTTAAGAGACTGACAATCAAAGCTGGAGGCAGAGGAGATAAAACATGGAAGAACTGTGAAATTATTGCAACACTGTCAATACAATAGCAATGACATCATCTGTGCATGACCAAAAATAACGCCTATAGACAATCAGCTACTTGCAGAAATGAATCGAGTATTGTACAAAAGCGTTACTGTACTTTGCAGGGTTTTAAGCCTCTGCTCACTTCCCTCTGGCTGTTGGTTTTGTTGATGCATCTCGGTTTGATCTCATATGAAATGTCTACTTAAACTCTTATTTATTTGTCTTTTCACTCGTTCACACAAGTCCTCTGTGTTGTTTCTGTTGTCGTTGTGTGTTGTGTTAGTACTGTATAGCTACCAAGAGTCAACCCTTTTGTGAAGGCCTTGGATCCCTTTAATGAAAATAAAACTGTGTGTAATGAATATATATTCAAAGGTCTTTATTTCTCATGTGTGGTTTCAGATAATATAAAAAATAGGCTGATGATTTAACATGGCAAAACACACTTTAAACATGGCTTAATAGCGAAAATTTAAAACACGAGTACACAAATTAGCTTCACTACTCATAGCATTCACAGACAATGCACTTGTCTTTATCTGGACACATTTTCCCAACAAATACAACATGCTAATGTTTTTAGCACAAGCCTATGGCATTTTACATTGTATAAATTAGCCTAGCAGCTAGTGGACTTTTCCTCTATTCATATAAAGCCAGGGACAACAGCAACATTTAACAAAGATGTTACAAAATTTGGCTCCATTACAACTGACAGGGTTCACTGACAAAACAACTGTCTTATACTAAACACGTTTTCCAAACAAATATAACATGCTAACGTTATTAGCACAGGCCTATGACATTTTACATTGTATAAATTCCTCTGCTCATATGAAGCCAGGATAATCCTGAAGTAAAATCCCCTTAGGATAAATCACACACAAGCCTTAAAACAATATTTTGTGGAGGATTTATTGTCTTCACAATTTATTTTTTCTTATCTGTGCTCTCAAGCTCTAAGAACACACTGTACACCACCTGTCCAACACCAAACAATAGATAAAGTTAGCGACTAGCTGTTGAACATAGTGAAGCATTTAGCAGCTAAAGAGTCAGATATTAATCTTGGGCATTGATAAAGGGCAAAACATATAAGGCTTTCCTTAATCAGGTGGCCAGAAACACAACTCCAAATTCATGTTTACTTTGCTCCTTGTCGGCCAGATGTGTGAATGGGTAAGTATTTGCTAACAACTCTTCTATATCAGCTTTAAAAAGGGACGTCAGTGATGTTTCTACAGCCTCTGTCCGCTGCCGCCAAGTGGCTAAAAATCAGTTCATGCAGGTTTAAGATATTTTATTTGTGTAGGATCAGCAGAGGGAAAAATTCAGTCAATATAATGTAGGCTTACAATGGCAGTCTTTCTGGGTTGGAACTGAGGGTCAGTGTGGAGGAGTAAGTTATCCACATGGCTTCAAAGGGGCAACAGCACAAATGGGGCGTCTGTCATGAAGTGGACATGGCGGAAACTGGCCAACCATTAGCAGGGCAGCATTTTGTGCTAATGGCATGACTCACTTGGGGCCCTGGAGGATGGATAGAAATTAAAGACGGGAGAGGAGGAAGGGTGAAAGACAATACGCTCTGCAGAGAGAAGGAACACGCAGACCCATGAACATAATGGGACTATAAGATGAGAGGTAAGATGCCAGTGCACTCCGGCTTAATGCTGTGTCATCACTTTCCCCCGAATGTATTATGAGTACTTTGTGTTGAATAACAATGGCAAAGTAGTTCTTGTTGAAAATGATAACTACATGTCACACTTCATTTAAAAAAGAAAGGAAAAAGAGGACAGGTGTCATAGACTCACTCTGTATTTCCCCTCCACGATGATAAGTATGAAAGTCAAAGATGCCAATATTAAAATGACTTTATTTATTCATTCATTTTCCGTAACCACTTAACCTGTTAGTAGTCATGTGGGGGGTGGAGCCTATCCCAGCTGACATTGGGCAAGGGGCGGGGTACACCCTGGACAGGTCGCCAGACTATCACAGGGCTGACACATAGAGACAGACAACCATTCACACTCACATTCACACCTACAGGCAATTTAGAGTCACCAATTAACCTGCATGTCTTTGGACTGTGGGAGGAAGCTGGAGTACCCAGAGAAAACCCATACTGACAAGGGGAGAACATGCAAACTCCACACAGAAGGGCTTCCTCACCCTGAGTTCGAACTAGGAACTCTCTTGCTGTGAGTCAACAATGCTAACCGCTGCACCACTGTGCCATGCCGCAACTTTATTTAATCAAATTGAATCTCATTTTCAACTTTATTCAATTAAAAAAATCAATGCAAAGTCACATGTTCATGTTGGTTGTCATGCCTGAAAATTCACAATTACAATTTTTCTGTTTATTCCAAAAGCACAACAGTATACTATCATGATTATATAAGTGAATATTAACTCCTGGGTGAAACTTAATTTTCGACTTCCAATTGGCAGACGATGTACAACCTTATCTTGAAAATGTCCTTAAAAACTGGGCTGGATTTTCACAATCTTCTTTTGTGAAATTGTAAAAGTCATCCATTAAACCCTCTAAACTGGATATAACATCCTATTGACTGAAACGCACCAATTGGACAACACATTTTACTGCTCTGGTTCAGGGTTGCCATGTCTGTTTGGTATAGTACAGGCAAATTTGAGCCTTTTTTTTCCAGGAAGTTGTTTGAAAATAAAGGTGAGTGAATGTTTACAGTTTTAAATTTTAATACATAATTTGGTCAGACCTGAGCTACACAGTCACTTGAATGTGCTGTCATCCATCATTGCAGCCTCCAACAGCTGTCAACAAGCTTTCATCCATTTACGACTCAGTCAACGTGATGTATCTTTCGCTGCACAGAGGATGGTGGTTTACAATAAAAAGAAAAGCAGGCTGGCTTGCAAAGTGCAAGGAATTGAATATGCAGGTATTTTTAGTATGGTAGTATGGGTATTGGAACGCACAGTATAAAAAAACGTGAGTTCACACTGACAAACTTCCATATTAGCAAAACACTGATGACAGCTGCATAATAGTATGTCGTTTAACAGGACAAAAACACCAAATGCAATGCCATTATTTTTACAAGCTAGGTAATTATCTGACAAGACAGTTAAATTTTGCAGAAGTAGAACCATGTCTTATTCTAAGAAAGCCCATTTACATTCATTTAGAGCCCTGTTTAAAGGGCTTTACGCTCAAAATGTCAGTAAGATTACATTACTGTGTGTCACTGAGTGCTTTAAATGGCAACTTAACTATCTGTTGCACCAGAGGTGGGTGAGGCCGTCTGACATATGGTGACTTTTGACTCATGGAGGCATCAGCAGGCCAAAAATAAGGAATAAAACAAAGCACGCAACTGCGGTGATAGCAGGAGCCAAAAAACCCCAATGTGGGAGAGGATCTGAGAGACAGTGTGAGACAAACAGGTCTTAAGAGTCACAAGCGGAAGGCAGGATATTGTGGTTGCAGTGCATGATGGCTCAAATGTATCTGATGCAGGTGATTCACCAGACATGAAGCCATGTGATCTGGGGGAAGGACGGCAACAGATATGGGGAAACTCATTTTAATGGGAATGTATGGTCTATTGTTCTATTAAAATTGTTCTATTAAAACATTAGTTATTTTGTTAAGGATCCCATTTGTGTCTTTTTTTACGAATTATGAACTAGATAGCTGATGAGTAGGACATCAAACATTCCTAGTTACTTATCAGCTTACCTGCCAGTTGCTGTTTGGTAATTTGCACCATTAACGTTAACACAGTATCAACTGGGTCCTGCAGTGTCACATGACTTGGTTCCGTTTCCTGTAGAGGGGCCCCTGTGTCAAAAACAATTTTAGTTTTAGTTTTTAGTTTTTACTGAACTTACATTGTCACAACTCAGGAAAAGGGAGGATTAGACCCAAACACAGACAGTGCAGACATGGAGGATCAGTTAAGTGCTTTCATACCACAGTAAATGTATCTTTAGGCTCACAGGCAGGCAGGTACAGGAATCATGAGGCTGGGAAGGGTTGAAACCAGGAAGGTAATCGAAACTGCAAACAAATCAGGGAATGAGCGGAAATGAGCCGCTTAGGGCTGATGGAGAGTGGGAACAGCTGAGCAGGTGGATGAGGGAGTCAGGTGATTGGAGCAGATGGAAACGCTGAGGGCATCTGGTGGAGAGGTAGAGAATGGCAATGAACAGGTTTGGGAAGGGGGAATGTGACTGGAGGAAAGAGGCAGAATGTGACACACATAGTGGTTTTGTGTTTCTTTAAATGATCACAAACCAACTTACACACAGAAATCCAGTATGGGAGTATACTGTTCTGTTTCTGGGTCTCAAATATAGTGAAGGTGTCATCTTGGAGGCAACACATTTTTGCCCCGGGTCTCTAAACAGATAAATTCAACCATACCAGACCAATTAACTGATCTAGCGAAATCCAGCATGAGGTTGTATTCTAGCTCTTTATGTAATCAGAAACATCCATACCTTCTGGAAAAGGGCTGCAGAGCATCTGGACCAAAATCCATTTGTCATTTATTAATTTACAACTGATTAATATCTACAAATGAAGTCTTTGTAGGTTACTGAGAGAAGCCTGCATTTCAAAGTTAAAAAAAGTATCAGCACCAAAATATACTCAGGGTACAAAAAGTAAACATACTCATTATGCGGGTTGGCCCATTTCAGAATAATTATGTCATATTTTTTAATCAGAATTATTGATGCATTAATGTGTGTATTACTTCAGCATTGCAGCTGGTAAAGGTGGAGCTTTTTATTCCATTGAATTTTATCCAAGGCATAAATAAAGTTTTATCTTTATCCATACATCGTTATTTATTTGTTGATTGTATTTTTGTTTTATTTATCTGACTCTGCAAAGTAGTGCAAAGAATATCTAAAGCACAAACACATGTAGGCCTACTGAAGTTAACATCGTGCCAACAATGTGCGTCATACATCTATGGCACTGGCAGGAAACCCAAAATGTGATGTCCACATATGAGGACGCAGGGTCTCAGGAGGATATGGCAGCATATTAGTGTTATGCAGTTTAAAGACTGAAAGAGAAACTGATCATCCACATGTACCTGTAGCGACACGCGCCACTGCTCCCAATTGGATCCAACATCTGCATGATGCGCGCGGATTTAAAAAAAAAAAAAAAAAAAAAAAAAAGCCACATGCAGCGACTCTCTGTGCTGTGAGTGGGTGAGTGAGTGAGTGAGTGTATGAGTGAGTGAGGGAAGGAGGAAGGAGGGCAGAGCCGGAGAGAGTCATTGATCGATCAGCCCAGCCTAGTCCCAAGAGAGTCTGAAGCTTCAGAGGAGAAACAACGGTGAGCTTTGTTTCACTTGCTCTTGTGTGATGGGATGCTTTGAGAGAAGCTGATGCAGTTAGAAACGAGAAATGTCTCTGATTTCCTCCAAATGTCGTGAAAATTATGGGGTGTTTTTTTTTGTTGTTTTTTTTTTTGCAGTGACTGGAATGGAGTGGGGTCTTCTGCTGTGGATGCTTCTCACCTTAGTGGGAAAGACATCAGCGGCGCCTGAGCAGTACAGCAGAGCAGTGGTGAGTAGTATTACAGAGAGAAAGAACATTAGTTGTTGCCATCTAAACTAAATATGTGTGTGTGTGTGTGTGTGTGTGTGTGTGTGTGCGTGTGTGGTTGCCCTTCGATTACTGATTAATTATGTAAGCCTGTTGTGTGATTGAGTGTTGCCTGACATCATAACTGTCTAATTTTCTATGGGTAAAACATGTTTTTCTATATAACAGGCTTTTTTTGTCAGTGATGATGTGTTAGTCGAGAATATGTAAAACTTTATTGATTAGATTTTGACTTATGAACCAAAGACACATTTAAACTCTTCTCATGTCAGTTTAATAAAATATATTTATACACACAATGAGGAGAATTTCTCCCAACAATTAGCAGGTTTTAAAGGGGGGGAAATCACTTTGCATACTTGCCTACATGAGTTATTCTGTTCAGCTGTTAGTATCTGTGGGGCTTATCTTTGCATCAGGCTTACACAGTCTTCTCTGTGGTCGATATGAGCTGGGTGTCATATAGAACAAATGACAAGGAAGTGCACAGGAAGTGTCTATATGACTCATGAGGGTTATAAAAGACAAAAGAAAAGACACTTCTTCAGAAAAAGTTGGTTTGGAAGAAAAAATACAACCCTACATGGTTTGGTTTTTATTGTTTTGTTGTTGTTGTTGTTTTCCAGTGTACTAAATACTGTATTCAAATATTACAATATCCAAATTCAGTGATTATTGAGTGTTTTAAATCATGAAAGGCAACACAATGTGGAAATCTGTGAGCTTCCTATATCCAGTTCACTTAAACACTTCCTCAAAAACATAAATACTGCTTATTTTTGCACAATTTTGCATGAATGAACGTCAGTGTGTCATATGTACGAGACATAAGTTTCACTTCTCTTCACCATAAAGTCATCATGTTTGGTCTGCATCCTGCGCGATGCTGCCAACGTCTGGGGCTCCAGCAAGGGTGCATGGAGTCAAACATCTTGTTTGAAATAAGGTGGTTTGACTGCTATGAAATAGTGTCAGACAAAAAAAGAAAAAATGAAAAAGTAAAATACCACAATTAGCTGGAAATGATCAAATACAATGTAAGGATTGAGTACTTGAGGTGGGTATTTTTTGCAGTGTAAAACCCACAGAGAGACAACTGTTGGCAAGTGAGGCAACACCTTTTCCTTTGAACTGCAACTACAGTGGAAGGGTGGAGGCGAAACAGGAGGAAGTGCTGGTTTCACAATCAGCTTTAAGAAACAGATTTCGCTTGCTTTGACAGAGATACTCGCTCAACAGTAAAATGCCACGCCAGATTTATCATCTCATTTCACCTGCATCCTCTATTCTTACTCTTCTTGCTCTGAATAGGACTTGCGGTTTGCAAACTGTCAATAGCACTCTGCCGTTATCCCATCAAGCAGCTCAGTCAACACAGACAGGATGATATAATATTAATGAGTAAAAAAGGCCGATACACTGCGTTGCGAGGAACGTGCTCGGCCTGATCTGTAGTAACAAATATCCTCTGTGACATCAGCGTTTGCCCGTAATCTTGAAGTTGAGTCATGGCAGAGATGGATTTCAGTGATATTGTTGGGTCACTGAGGTTGGGAGCATGTCAGTGGAGCATTAAAGGGACACTTCACCCAGCAAATTATTTTGTGAATCAATTAGTCATGCAGTGTTACCTCTATTCATGAAAAAAGTTTGTTTTTGTCGCAAAGATATTAACCTTTTTTACACAGAGATCCTGTAAGAAGACCGCTAGGAAGTCCCTTCATTACACCACCTTTGCTTTTTTACACAAACCAAACAATAACTGTGGCATATGGGAAGCAATAACATGGCAGTAACAATCATTTACTGCCTCTGCTATATGGCAGCTGATCTTGTCCTCTGCTCAAATGGTAAAGAGCTCCTGGACCTCATTGTTTTCCCAATTTCTAGGCATTTTGACTGCTGTTCTTCTCTTTGAGTTAGCTGCTAACTGCTTTTCTAATCTCCTATGGGTCGCACACATAACATGTCGTCAAAACATCCCGTCTGTGGTCCTGTCCCTTTTGCATTGTTCTACCTCTGCAGCCAGCTTAAGGGCAAGACATCTCTGTCCTCCTGTTCACAATCATGCCTTTAAAAAAAAGGGAGAATAACAGCGTGACGTCCAAGCCTTTAACAGGCAGTGTAAAAGTGGCTATTGATTTACTCATTGATTTGGTGTCACGATTAACAACAGCAAAACTATATCAAAAGATAATCACTCACACAACTCATGCAGTATACTCTAAGTTTCATTTATCCATTCGTATGCTCAGTATTTCCCAAACACATGCATGTTCCTGAAAAATCGAAATATAGCAAATTTCATTTTCAGTTCAGTTTCAACTAAAGGTTTTAGTGAAAATGCACATATTTGGGAAGTACTGAGCATATGACTGGATAAATGAGACTTGGATTATACTGAACTTGTTGTGTGAGAGCTTGATAATAGATGTTTGATTTAGTTTTGCTGGCATTAAACGTAGTCTCCAATCAATCAATATATCGATATGTTCTCCGTTTTCCATGGAGGCATGTGAGAAAAATGTTTCCTTCACGAATTTAAGGCAACACAACATGACTAACTAATATACAAATAGGTCATGTTGTGGGTGAAGTATAACATTTAAAGCTACGATTGGTTACTTTTGTAAGAAAAAATAAAATTGGACCCGACCTCGTAAACGGTCTCCAGTTATTGGGAACTTGTGGTTCAAAGTATCAAAATGGCTACTAGAAATAATTAATAATTACTGATTAAAATTATTCAGAGTAAAGCTGCAGCTTCTGTTGTGATCATGCAGAGGTGAGAGAATGGGGGAAGGGCGTATCAGGTCTTCGTGCCTACGTCCTATCTCTGTCGAGGTTCAGGAGAATAAGAGCAATGAAGAGTATAAGCATCTCCCTAAGATGGCTTGGTGACATCAGGGGGTCACATGTCACTCAGTACGTTTACATGCCACTTGAGAAAATCAAATTATTGGCTTAGTCCGACTGAAACTGGACTTTTAGATGCATGTAAACAGCTTAGTCCTACTGAAATTTGACTATCTGTAGCTCGACTACACACCTAGATAATTTGATTGAAAATGGAACTATTGCTGTATGTATCCATGAAGAAGAAGGAGATGACGTAGTAGCAGTTCAGTACATAGCAGTGCAGTAACTCCCGGAAAAACAAACAAACAAAAACCATGGCGACAGAGAAGCAGAAGACGCACTTCTGGACAGACGGGCAAACTACATTCATGCTCCGACAGCTAAAGGAGCTTAACATCTTCATTCCTTGTTAGCTTCCTCTACGGGTCCACCGGAACTAGTTCAATATGCACCATATTAAAAAGGACTGTCAGACGTACTTGTTCAGAAATTCGATTTTCTCTTCTCCATGTATACTCAGACAAGACAAGAAGTCCGACTTGACTGATTAGCCAAGCTATGAGCTTAGCTCGACTACTCTGTGCATGTAAAAGTACTGACTGTGGAAGTAGTGCCCAAGCAAGTTTGAAAACTGGGTCCATGGGATGGACTATCACTGAGGTGTGACAATGATCCTGTGGAGATGAGTGCCAAATGGCTGTCCTTTGTTTGATGAACAAAGAACATGCAGTCTCGGTCAACATGTCAGATGGCCAGACCCAGAGGAAAAGCCTTCGCATGTCCAGTTTAGATCTGCACAAATGACAAATCATCTGTAGTCCACTGAATCCCAATAACAGCACTATATGAGACAAATTATCTGTAAGAAAAAATCATACTCCTCTGCCTACTCTACTGCCTTGGAGTGCTTCTAATGGCCTACTATGCGTGAATGAAAACAACCAATCAGAGCTGAGGAGTCTCTAACGCAGCTCTGCCCTACAAAGCCTAAGTGCAGTAACTACATTTTTGGTCAAAATTGAATTAAAATTAACTCCTTGGTATCTGTTTTATCTTGTGACAAAGTTTCAGAGTTCAATTTTGCTTAGTTTTAGAGAAAAAATGGTATAAAATTTGCAGTAACTACAAAATCTGTCTCAAAAACAAGGCAGACCACAGTAAGTGAAGTTACTGCAGTCTGCTTTGGAATTCTGACAGCCAATTTCATCCTCTAAGCATCTAACTTAAGACAAGAAATCTGAGATGGCACTATCCAGGGGAAAGAAGATGGTGGAACTGACGTTGAAAAGAAAATACCCAGAGAATCATACTTATGTAAAAACAAGGACAATGGAAATTATCAATGTGATTGTCATAAAGGCAACAAACAGTGGTAATGGTGAAAACGATGATGAAAATGGTGATGCAAAGTTTAATTGATAGGAAAATTATTATCTAGATAGGGGTAAACAAGTAAAAAAGTGAAATTAAATGATGAAATTAAGAGTAAAATATGACATTACTTTATAATATTGTCTAAAATTCTTAATTTGTCCAGACTTAATTAAACATGATCCATAAGAGTTGTTAAATACAATTATAGCAAAATCAATGTCAAAATAGGTTTTGTTCAATGAAAACACAACATAAAAACTGAAAGAAAACAACAACATTGTAGTTACTGCACTTGGCTTTTGTATTGCTATTAGAATCATTTAAGGCAATGCAAAGGCAGAGTGCAGTAACTACATTTTGGGGTCAAAGGTTGAATCAGCAATCATGGTTTTTGGGCATAAAAATTATCCTATGAATACATGTATAATTAGTGTAATATCACTCCTATAGCTATAACCCATTTGGCTGGCTGGTTAAAAAACTTTAAAGCCATTTTTTCTCAGTTTTACCCTCTGCATAGTTACTGCACTTAGGATTTGTAGGGCAGAGCTGTCAATCACTGCTTGTGAACTGCGGTCAAACTGTCAAACTGATGATTTGATTCTAGCAAATGTCATTAGACGCACTATGAGGAGGAGGGACATGATTTTTTTGTCTCGTGTACTTCTTTCAGCAAATGTGGCAAAAAGTTAATTTCTTAAAAGTTACCAACAGTAGCTTTAACAGAGAAGTAATTCACCACAAGAGGAAATTAATGTGTGTTTTTTCTGGCCCTCCATCCTGTGCTGTGGTAATTGTTTTTTGAGAAACAACAGATTACCAAATGTCCTCTGGTTTCCCTTTTCTCCGTGCAGGATTGGTTGAGCAGGTATGGCTACCTTCCTCCCCCTGACCCCCGCACGAGTAAACTGCAGACCAAAGAGGGGATTGAGAAAGCCATCCGTGTCATGCAGAGATTCGGCGGGGTCCCAGAAACTGGGGAACTCGGTAACAACCTCTCCACTCTGATTCACTGGGACGATATATTATAGATATTTCTACATGTGAGGTTTCACATGTCCGGATTCACATGAGGTCTTGAACTTCCCGTAACCTGTAGTTTCACCATACACTTGTGTGATCAACTTCTCTTCCAGACAGCGAAACTCTCAAGCTCATGGCTACGCCGCGATGCTCCCTCCCTGATATTGTTGGGAGTGAGGACATGCTGAAGAGGAGGAGGAGGAGGAAGAGATACGCCCTGTCAGGCCTTAAGTGGCATAAGACAGACCTCACATGGAGGTGTGTTTCCTGTCATGTTACACTGTGGCTTTATCTCATCCCTGTATGAATCATAGAGACGTGTGTGTCGCCCTCAGCTGCTTTAGGTTTCATTTAAGGTTTGGATGCCAAACAAGATTTGAATTATACCAATAGTATGTTTAGTTTTAAAGTCATCTATGTCAGGATTAAAGATACCATAATAGAGGAAGAAAGGGTTTTGAGGAAGTGTACAGTTTTTCACACAAGCTTATCAGTAGCGTTTCAGCTTGTTTTGTGTCTCTGATTACAATCTGAAGATCAGATCAAAACCTGTAAATCTGTGCGTTAGTCCAACCATCTTTCACACAAGCCCATAAAAACTGTTTGGAGCTATTGCTTCCACCATTGTGGCTGTGAGAAAGCTGTATGTCCACTGAACATTTGAGATTTCTGTAAATTACCACTACGAAAAATTAGAAAGATTACCTGCTGATCGCATACACGTTATAGGACAATGCAAACCAAGGCAAGTTTATTTGTATGGCACCTTTCAAGAACAAGGCAATTCAAAGTGCTCCACAGAGGCCCATAAAAGGCATTAGGAGAGAAGCATGAGGTAATATCAAACGACATATTTCAATATTCTTGTGGTTAAAAAGACCCATGAAATGACCAGATGTATTAGTCCATCTATCAGTGCTGTCTAACTTCCCCATCCTGTTTATGTCGCTTAGTTCCAACTAAAGACCTAAAAAATTTTGGTCAGAAAAGTATAGTTTCATTTTTAAGAAAGGCTTGCTTCGTTTCCAAAGCAGCTGGGCACTTTGGTTTTTACCAAATGTCACTCAAACTAGAGTAAATAGTACATTTTTGGGGAGGGGCTATTTTCAGCTGCGGAATGATACAGAAATTATGCACAAAAGCAAAGCGGCAGTGACTGTGGGGTTGATTCCAAATAAACTACAGTGTGATGAAAAGTGCCTGTCACACTGTGCAGTTCAGTCACTGATGTGCTTTTAATAGATTTAATTTAAACAATGCAGCTCTGCAGCACAGACGAATGAGCTACAGTATCAGGTTTTCACTACATGGACAATAAATTGCTGACATAACAAGTGAATGGACTTTACCCATTCACCCACACCATCGTACACTAGTTGCCAAGGCTGCCATACAGATGCTACCAGTTACTCAGCTAACCATTTACATGCACTCACACACTGATGGCACAGACATATACATAAGGATACTTCAACATGCAGACTGGAGAAGTCGGGGAACCATCTCCTGAGTCACAGTCTGGGTCAGATTACGGTGAAATGCAGTCAGTTACTAAAGACAAATTACATGGGGTTTATTGTAATTGGTAATGTTATCTATTGGATTACAAAAAAACAAAACAAAAAACATTATCTGAATACTTTGATTTCTCAGAAATAAAAACACATAAATAATGCACCTTTTACAAAATTAAAAGAAAATGGATGCAGCCCCAAAAATTTGAGTTCCACAAAACAAATTCAAATACAAAGACTGCTGCTGCTGCACCGCTGCTCAACATGCTCTCATCTCCGGTTGTCCAACACCAACAGAATGTAACATGTGATCAATGCTGCGAAAAAGTCCTGGTTAGGTTTAGACAACAAAACTTCTTGTTAAGTTTCCAAAAAAAAGATGTTTGGGGTTAAAACACATGCATCACATGACATAAATAGATTACATGAGTAATGTTAATGTGGTGATGACCATTCATAAATCGCTTAACATTACGTTAGGAAAAAAATAAAACCCACTTGGGGCACCCAGTAGCTCAGTGGGTAGAGTGGGCGTCCCATGTACAGAGGCAGTGTCATTGCTGCAGCAGCCGCAGGCTTGTTTCCAGGCCATGACCTTTTGTTGCATGTCACTTCCCCTTTTACACTTAATCTGTCCTTTCCTTTCCAGTAAAAGCCAAAAAAATAATTGTTAAAAAATATTAATGATAATAAAAAACACACTGGACAGCCATCTGCGGACAGGAAAGTTTGGTTTCCTTGGACTCACCCACCTCCCCTCCTGTTGACCCCATGTGGACTTTCTTGCTCTCTACACATTGTCACCTGCTGTCAGTGTCAAGCATTGGGTTTACAGTGGTGCGTCTTAAAAAGACGCTAAGGGCTGCTGTAGGTGTCAATATCACACGCCGAGGGGAGTGACAAAGTGTTAGTATTTGATGCACTGGTAATGAGCACGGGCTGGTCTGCCACAAACTGGAGCACTTGTCAAAGAAACCCCGTATGTCAGACACAATTTTCATGAGTAAACTGAGATTGGTTGTCATGAAAATATGTTCCATATTTTAAACATTAAACAAACAAACATTAAACAAACCTCTCCTCATGAGGAACAAATTTGCCTCAAGAACCCATAACTTCCGGTTATATAGATTTTCCGCCATTTTGAATTTTTTGAAAAACACTTCAAATCAGTCTCTTCCTAGGAAGTTTGACTGATCTGCATGAAACTCGGTGAACATAATCTAGGGACCAATATCTAAAGTTCCCTCTTGGCAAAAGTTGGAAAACTGAGCTTCTATAAGGCAATGAATATTGCGGAGGGTGTGGCTCATCACATAAAGGTCTATAACATCTCAAGGGTTTCACCGATCACCACGCAACTTTGTAGGCATATGACCACACATAATCTGAGGGGACCCCTCCATTATTGACCCCATCAAACAAAATGGAGGCGCTAGAGAACTAATTTCTTATCTAGGCCAAACCGCTATATCGATTTTTACTAAACTTGGTAGATATGTAGAACAGAACACTTAAGGTGACTGGAGAAATGTAACTCTAATTGGCAACTGGGTGGCGCTATATCAACAGAAAAATGCTTAAACATGGCTAAAATGCGACCAATCGCTGTGGCTCCCCCTGTGGCCCAATGTTTGTTTGTTTTTTCTTAATTTTGGTATGACTAAGTCATGGTATGGTATGCTGTACTCAGTGGGTATGGACTAGTTTTTAAGATTATCAAGTAACCCTTGCCATTTTAAATTGAATCTAATTACACTTTTTTTTTTTTTTTAATCTATCTGGGTTGATTATAGTAACTTAATTTTTTGTAATCTTATCATGTAATCCCGATTTTCAGAGTCAGATTCAGATTCAGATTCAGACAACTATATTAATCCCACCAGGGGTAATTTGTTTGAATAGCTCACCTTGCACGCATACAGTAACATGTAGATGAGTAATAAATAAAAATCAGAAATAAAAAATGTGCCAAGGAGTTCAGTAGAATAAAGGAATCTATAAATAATAAACATGTAATCCATTGCTAACCAACCATGCTTGTTGATCATTAGCTGACAGTAAGAAAAATGCAGATCATTGCCAGACATAAACTTTGAATTAAGCAGGCAGAATAGTGAGATTCTTGAAAAACAAAACATCTTTTTAAAGGTATAATATGCAGGATTGTAGGTTACTATATATAAGCACGCTCACCAGTGAAAGGGACAGTAAAAGCCAACCCCAGATTCTGGCCCTGAAAATTTTAACTCATGAACTGTGGAAAATGTAGTTTTTATTAAAATGATATATAGAATTTAAAACAAAACACTAAAAGGGTATCAAAGAGTACACACAATACACAGTGAACAGATTTAGAGGATGGTTAAAACATAACAGTTAATACAGAATCTCTCCTTGTCTGCAGTGTCCACAGCTACCCATCGCCCTCCACCTCACCCGGCATGTCGAACGATCTGGTGGACAACATCCTGACTCACGCCTTCAAAGCCTGGAGTGACGCGGCCCCCTTGACTTTCCATCAGCAAAGGATTGACAGCAGGAGGGCAGAAGCTGGAGGGGACATCAGAGTGACTTTTGCCCGCTTGCTTCACGACGATGGGTACCCTTTTGACGGGCAGGGTGGCACCCTGGCCCACGCCTTCTTCCCCGGCAGGGAAGAAGTGGCGGGTGACACACACTTTGATGATCACGAGATCTGGAGCTACGGAGGTAGGCTACTTACTGATTGATGATGGATAGATTTGTGATGGCTGGACGATGTGTCTGTCTACTGACACACAAACTGTAATGAAAAAATGATCCTCAGTAATTGAAAAAAGGAGCAAAAGACTACTTAGACAGTAACATCAAATCACAGTTGTTTATGTGCTCCAGTAACACTTTCCTCACACCTCCTCAGGTCACAGCAGCAGCACAGACTTGTTCACAGTCGCAGTGCAAGAGTTTGGCCACGCGCTGGGTCTGTCCCATTCCTCCACTGATCCATCCATCATGAGACCGTATTACCAGGGTCCTGTGGGAGACATTACCAACTATCAGCTGGATCTGGACGACAGGCTGGCCATCCAGCAGCTTTATGGTCAGTAACCAGAGTATCAGTCTATGATATTCACTGAATCACACTTACAGCATGTGTGGTGTTTTTCTGATATGAAATCATCATCACAGTTTAAAGATGAACCCTGAGGGATCAGTAAGTCCCTGTGTATTGCTTGGAAAGGCTTACAGTATATTTTCCCAGTTGTACAAGATGTTGCAGTCCTCTAACTGCTTTAGGTCAGGGTTTTATTTCAGCTAATGAAACTGACACAGAAGTAAACCCACAAGGAACACATGAAAGAGGAAGGAGGCAAAAGTTATAGCTGACCTTGTTGAACCCATACACAGGTGACTGGGTGCTAGATTGACCCAGCTCTTGGTACCATGATTGACCTAAATTTACCTAGTTGTTTATAATCATGCTGCGGCGATGATACTATACTTTGGCATTACCTCTGATGAAATCATTTATTAGCGAGGTAATGGTGCATGTAAAGGTGCACGCACACAGAGGGGATTTCAACCATTTCCTTCCTTGTGTTTCAAAAAAAGCATTTGCATCCTGTGTGTAAAACTCCCCTGGCTACTGAGAAGAACGTGGGTTGCATGCACATTTTTTTCAATGCTGTCATCAGCTTTCACTGCTTTAACATTGTCACCATTCTGTTATAGGTGTGAAGGACGGCAGACCACCAGGAGGTGTTGATCCTGACGTCCCACGCCTGCCCAGCCCACCTCCACCAAGACCAACACAGCCGTGAGTAGAGCCAGATTAGACAATGAAAACCACTGTACATCCATCCAGACAATAAGCACTTAACATTTACAAACTATGAATATCCTCTCCATGCAGTCAGTTTACTCGTGAGTGATGATGAGTAATTTTAGATCTAGATGGATGCAGTAAAAGCCTTCTGATCGAGCCTCATTGTGACAGTGTTTGGTCTTGTTGCACCCTCTAGTGAATTTTTTGTCAAACTGCATCCTGTAAAATATAATGTGACTTGTTCTGTCCCAGCGCTGACCCCTCATCCCACGAGCGCTGCAAAGGGGGCTTTGACGCAGTAGCAAACATCAGGGGAGAGGTCTTCTTTTTCAAAGGTAAGAAGAAAACATCACAAATGCACAACACAAAAATATCACAAAATCTCCCAAAAGCATGTCTACATTTATGGATGGATTACTGAACAGGCCTACCGGGCACAGGCCCAGGCCCCCCCTAACCCTCACCTGTAAAATGTAATTTAAATGAACACATACTAATCATGAAAAGATACACAAAGACCACAAAAAGATGCAAAGAGACACAAACAAAACTACAAAAGTGGCAAAACAAACACAAAGAGACACAAAATGACCAGTTACATTACCTCGAAGAGATACAACATTACCTCCAAAAGACACAAAATGATTTGAGTTACAAAATTACCCCAAAGTGACACAAAATGATTATAAGGAGACACAAAATAACCACTCAAAACAAACACAAAGAGACACCTAATGTCTGCAAAGAGACATAAAAATGACCAGAAGACACAAAATTACCCCAAAGAGACACAAAACAACCAGAAAAGACAAAACTGACCTCAAAGAGACACAATACAACTATAAAAAGGGGGGAAACAAGCAAAAAGAAACACAAAACAAACACAAAGAGACACAAAATGACCTTAAAAGACACAATTATTTCTAAGAGACGTAAAAGTTACCTCAAAGAGACAAACTGACTAAGGACACCAAATAACTACAAACAGGGGCAAAACAACCAAAGAGAAACACAAAATGACCACTAAGAGACACAAAGCAACCAGAAAAGATACAAAAATTACCTCAAAAAGAAACAGAATTATCCCAAAGGGACACAAAATGACCTCAGTGACTCAAAACAATTAGAGTGACACAAAAAAAAACTACAAAAGAGGCAAAACAAATACAAAGAGATGCATAATGACTCCAAAGTGACACCAAACAACCAGAGAAGACACAAAATGATCCCAAAGGGACACAAGCAAAACTACAAGAGGGGCAAAACAAACACAGACACACAAAATGACCAGAAAAGACACAAAATGGCCATAAGAGACACAATCATGTCAAAGAAACACAAATTTACCTAAAAGAGAAACAAAACAACTATAAGGACACAAAATAACTACAAAAAGGGGCAAAATAACCAAAGAGAAACACAAAATGACCACTAAGAGACACAAACAAAACTACAAAAGGGGCAAAACAAAAAGAGAGACACAAAACAACCAGAAAAGACACAAAGTTACCCCAAAGACACACAAAACAATTGGAATAACACAAATAACTACAAAAGGAGGCAAAACAAATACAAAGAGATGCATAATGACTCCAAAAGGAAACCAAGCGACCAGAGAGGACACAAAATGACCCCAAAGAGACACAAGCAAAACTACAAAGGACACAAAATAACTGCAAAAAGGGGCAAAACAACCAAAGGGAAACACAAAATGACTACAAAGAGACACAAAACAACCACGAGACACATGGTGACTTTAAAAGACACAAAATAACTGCACCAATAAAAAAGGGCAACATCACCACAACATCTACATTGCTCATGTAACAAAAAGATATCAGACTCCATGCGTCAGAATATACAGTGACACGTCATCTCTTTCTCGGACAGGTGCACACTTCTGGAGAACTAAGAGAGACGGGGAGTTGATTTCACTCAATCCGGCTCAGATTAAAAACTTCTGGATCGGCCTTCCGCCAGGAACAAACAAGATCGACGCCGTGTACGAGAGGAAGAGCGACAGCAGCATCATCTTCTTTATTGGTGAGAAACATATTCTTTCACCCACGTGTGGCTTTGCTGAATCTAATTTTGGAAATGTCACATTTGAGTCAGGGTTGAAGGTGTGAATGTGGTTTATTTTTCCCACACATCTTAGATGTTATTTTTAAGGTGGTGGTGTTAAGGTTTTCAGTTCAGAGGAGGACACAAATGCAGGTTCAACAGGCAGGTATGCAACCAAAGGCGAGCTTTAATGTAGCTGTTCAAGGATTTCCAAAAAGGCAGGTGACTCAAAATCCAACAGGGAGCAGAAACAAAAATCCAAACTAAAAAAACAACCAGAAAAAGACACAATGACCAGGGATGGATGTAGGCCGAAAGCAGGATGACGAACTCAGAAGTTATGCAGACGGACTGACCAAGGACAAAGGACAAAGGGAAACACACAGGTATATATACACGGAAGACTAATCACAAGGACGAGACACAGCTGGAGAACAGGCAAGGATTAATGAGACAGGTGTGGCAGAAAACAGGCGGGAAAATACACAAAGACAGGAAGTAAAACAACATGGAACAAGGAACACAAACAGAAAAACTCAGAGACAAAGTCCACAAGATAACAGAATGTGAAGCCAAAACCCAGGATCATGACAGGTGGTTTTGAGGAAGTCAGCTTAGGGCAGGAAATAAAGTTATGTATGTAGCCAGAGGTTTTATCTAAAGTTAGGTTGCCTGATTAACAAATCGGACAAATAAAAACCTGGTATTCATTAATCATGTTGATCCAGTGACCCATCCACTGTACATGATCCTTTTACAGACATTTCTAAACATTGCAAACTTCTTTTTGGCTCCAGTTTGGACGAATGAATTCTTAATTCTCTCACTTCCCCCCCATCTGTCCAGGACCTCAGTACTGGGTCTTCAAGGACACGGTGGCCATGAGCGGCTACCCTCGGCCCCTCTCTGAATGGGGCATGAGGACAAAGAGCGGGGCGCTGGTGAACAGGGTGGACGCAGCCTTCGTCTGGGCCCACAACGGCAAGACCTACCTGTTCAGCGGTGGGGAGTTTTGGAGGTTTGACGAAAGCCGTAAGGGTGAACAGGTGATCAGACAGCCAGATCAGGGCTACCCGCGAGACAACAGCCTCTGGGGAGGAGTGCCCCCCGACATGGATGACATCATCAGCTGGGGAGAAGGTAACCTTGTGTTCAGAGTAGGGTTGGCTATTGTTTTAGAAAAAATGATACCAGCACCCTTACTGTGATACTGATACCAATAGAATACTTCTTTTCATACCTTGTCTATGGAAGCTGAGAGTGGCCGTCCTACCACTTAAATTTTCTATGCTGTTTCAAGACAATAAGTTGATTTATTCGTTTATCTCAAGAAAAGGAACCACTGAGTCATGACTTCCATAACCATCATCATTTGATGTGATCAATGATATGGATACTCCTTGATCTGACATTTTCAGCTTAAACCGGTTGCTACAATTGACCTTTCGCTAAGCCAATGACCCGACAAGCTGTCGGAGTAAGACATTAAAAAAGTTCTTGGCTTCCGTAGTTACCCATCATGTGAATGGAAGCAGTCAGTTGCTTAAGATGCCACTAGATGCCACAGCTGAACTGCACACCATGCTTGACTTCACCACATTACAGAGCGTATGGGTTGTAGCTGCTGGGGTAGTGGGCCAATCATATGTGGCATTAAACTGAAGAACCCAATAATTGGCCTGAAGCGAAACAGCACCAGTAGTCTTTTGTTTTCTAGATCTGTATACAAAAAGGACTAAATTAAGGTATTGTTTGACTTGACAGGGTTCAATACTTCCCAGCACTTCAAAAGTTTCTGACATCCATGCTGGCTATATAAACAAAACCATAGAGATGGTTGTTTAAGGGTGATGACATTTTGATATGGATGGTATGAGACGCCATCAAAGCAATGGAAAAGAACAGAGAGTCAAGATAAATAAGTGACCCTGCAGATTTTTTGTTTCACTGGCAGCGGTATGTAGCAATGTGTTTTTACAAGTGGCTTCCTGTTTGTATACACAGACAGCGTGACTTTTATCTTCACGCATCTCTGGGTGGCAGAAATATATCAACAAATGTTGCAACAAAGGCAGTGAGCTCTTCGGGTTACCAGGCTGTTTAATACATTGTGTGATAAGGGGAAAATGAATGAGAGTCACACTGCTGCTGCTTCTCTTTAGGAGATGCCTACTTCTTCAAGGACAACCATTACTGGGTGCTGAAGAACGGAGGCCTGAACCAAGAAGTCGTCACTCCGAAATCCATCGCTGTAGACTGGCTCAGATGTCCAGCTCCGCCTGCGACCTCCGCTCCTCAACACCCAGGGAAGTGCAACTGTGACTTGAAGGGATCAGCTTCGTTTGTAAGGAGCAACTGGCTCCTCCTGATCTCTGTTTTATTGGTCATTCAGGAATTTATTAGAAAATAGACACCTGAGTATCCAGCAGTGGCTGCAGGCTGCTTTTTACCACTTCCCTTATTCTAATGGAGGGTTAAAGAGGCTCCTCAAATCACCACACACTCACAGTACATTACAACCCACAAGCTGGTTTCAAATTACATACTACTGTCATAAAAATGTTAATATCTGCCTTTTACTTTAGCATAAGGCACGTTACTGTAAATACCTTGCCTTATCAGAGCATATTGCTGACCTGTGAAAACAGTTTATTTTGTGTCTGTCATCCTGCCATATAATTTCAACCCCTTCCTGTTTAGAGAGTAATGGATCATGTGGAGCCTGTATTAGAGAATGCCTGGAAATCTGACACTGAAATGCAGCACATGGGCTATTTCCTCATAATGAGGTCTTATGCAACCACCTTTTGTTTGGACAGTTAACAGTCAACACACCCACACTGAAGTGCAACATTTTTTGAAATTCAGAGCACATTTGTGCACATGCATTTACACAGTGCAAACAGAAATCGGGCAAATTGAATGTGCAGATTGCAATGCGGTTTGTCGTCGCCCCATTTTTGTGTTTTCGAGTTTGATTTTGTACATGTGAATGATTTTCGCTCACAGACTTTGGAATGATCAAGAGGAGAAATTACCTTTTTGTTGACATTACGCTTATATTATTATGCTCACTGACAGTATTAACGCAAAGGTCCTGCAAACAGAGATGTGGACTCAGTGAGGTTGAAAGAAACCAATTGTTTACTTGGCAAATGTTCACAGCAGAGTTTATCAACTGGTACTCAATCAGTTGGGGCAAACAAAGTGGCCCCACCTATTGAAAATAACTGGAGGCTGATAATAACTGTATTCAAGAGGCTGTGGCGTGCTCATTTTTTAAGCTAGCACAAAGGTGGCATCGTGTGAAACACTGGTACCAGCCATGTTGACATAGCTTTTAGGGGACGGGGCTAAACTATGCTCTCAAAACAGGCAACATTTTGGCGAGGGCACAACGGACGTGGCCATTTTCAAAAGGCTCCCTTGAATTCTCATTTCAGGATATCTGAATGAAGATCGGTTCTGTGGCTACCCAAGAGTCTCCCTTAAACTTGAGGAGGCTTGTTCCCAGGAAATGTTTTGTTCCTTGCAATCAATGTACTCCTTCAAACGAAAGCTTTATATTTGAGGACAAAGGGACAACCAGCCTATTTGAAAAGCAATTAATCACCTAACATGTGTACACAATTACGTAACAAATCAAAACAGGATTGCTGAGGAATTCAGAGTGTTAACTGTATTAGTCTATGCACATCACACAGTTATCAGTATGGGATTCCTTATTGCTCCTTATTAACATAGTTTTGACTATATACTTCAACAGCATTAATAATTCCCAAATGTTAGTTATGGCTTTTGGTTTTCATGCCCCACCCCATCGTTTTCAATTGCCCTATTTGGCCACCCCTATGACAGATTTCTTGGGGCACCACTGGCAAGGAGCGAACAGGTTTCTGGGATGGGAATGGGATTGCTTTTTCATATTGTAGTTATTTTACAATGATGTAACTATCATGCAATCCCAAAAATGTTGGGACGCTGTGTAAAATGTACATAGAAACAGAAGGCAATGCTTTGCAAATCCTTTTCAACGTATATCAAATTGAATAAAATACAAAGACGAGATATTTCATGTTCAAACTTTTTGTAAAATATACACTTATTCTGAGTTTGATGTCACATTTCAAATAGTTTTTTGGAAACCATGGACATCATGTTCTCTGGGCTAAAGGGGAAAAGAGCTATCTATGTTCTAACCATCTTAAAGTTCACAGTCAGCATCTGTGATGGTATGGAGGTATGCTAGTGCCGATGGCATCATGGGTCACCTGCATATCTGTGAAGGCATCATGCATACTGAAAGGTACATACAGGTTTTAGAGCATCCAGATGAGGTCTTTTTCAGGTTCGTCCCTGTTTATTCCAGCAAGACAGGACATTCTGCACTTATTACGACAGCGTGGCTTCGCAGTAAAGAATGTGGGTACCAGACTGGCCTGCCTGCAGTGCACACCTGTCTCCCACTGAAAATGTGTGGCGCAATATGAAGCACAAATACGACAGCAGAGACAGTGGACTGTTGAGCAAGTGAAGCCGTATATCAAGCACAAATGGGAAAGAATTTCACTTTAAAAACTTCAACATTTATCGTCCTCAGGTCCCAAATGCTTACTGAGTGTTGTTAAAATGAAAGGTGATGTCACACACGCTGCTGTCACAACTTTTTTTTTTTTAAATGTGTTGCAGGCATCAAATTCAGATTGATTGTTTATTTACAGAAAAACCATAAAGTTTATCAGTTTGAACATTAAATATCTTGACTTGAAAAATGATTTTATTCTTGTATTTGATTATTTAAATTCACTGTCACTGTGATCCATTGAGGTGGAGCTGAACTCTGCAGATGTAATGCAGTAAACTCTGAGCCTAATCCCGATCTCTGAGTTGACTGAGCCTGAGCTGGGACACTCTGGGTTCATCCCAATATCCCTCCTCGACTCCTCTATCCTTGATCACTTGACCCGGAAATCGATTGAGACTCGCCATCTTGTAGGATGCTTCAATATGTTAAATGCACTCAGAGGAGTCGAGGAGAGGGGAGGCTTTCAGCAGGGAGGGAAGCGGGGACGCACAAGTCTTCGCAGAAGTCTTTAACCAACCGACACACACCCCTAAGTTAATGATTACACAGCTGATCGGACTGATCTGATACATCCCAACATCACTGGAGTTTTATACAGAGTGAAGACAGATAAGAGAAACTCAAATGTATCACTGCCACGTTTCTTAGAAAGATGTTTCTCTTCACGACCTGTTATTTCCCTCATCAACTTTAATTATGAGTACGATGAAAGTCAGAGAATCGGTCTGTCAGCAAGAAACACTTCAACATCACTGACCGTTGTTTTCATTCAGTCACTTTGACCTATTAAATTATTTCCAGTGTTCAATAACACCGTGATCATTCTCTGGGTTATTCAATGATGAACTCACAATCAGAGTATCAATAAATACACATGCAAATAATGCCACACCACAAAAACTGCTCAGGAACGGCCAGAGGAACATGACAAAGAGCTCAAGGCGTCAACCTGGCCTCCAAATCTTCCACACACCAATCTAACTGAGCATCTTGGGACATGCTGGTACCCCACCTCACAACCCACGGGTCTCAAATGATCTGCAGCCAACGCTCGGTGCCAGACACCACAGGACACCTTCCAGAGGTCCTGTGTCCATGCCTTGACATGTCAGAGACAGGTCCAATCCAGGGAGGCCCCATAGTGGATCTGGGGTACCTCTAGGGTACCAGTACGTCACATGAATACTTGATCAGATTGGGATCAGGGGAATTTGGAGGCCAGGTTGATGCGTTGAGTTCTCTGTCACATTCTTCGGGCTACTACTGACCAGTTATTGCAGTGAGGCACTGCTCTGCATGGGCCACTGCCATCAAGGTGCATTGTTGCCACTGGGAGGGGGTGCATAACATTATGTGATAACTGTATGTGTATCTTTATTATTATATATGTATATATAACTTCTGTGGGTGCAGACAAAAACTCAATTAAAAGTTTCTACTGCTGTAAATAAAGCCTCTTGAATCGCTTCCAATTCACATTATTTCCTTTACGCTCAGATGGAGCTATGATGGGATGTGAGTCCCATAAATGCAGCGCGGAATACTTGAATATATGAAAAGTATTCATAAATCACTGCACAATTTATCTACATGGATTCATTAAAACCCTGCAGTTCTGTGGAATTTCTCTTTTATGATCCTGTCTGATTTATACCCAGGGAAAACCACAAACACAGGCAAAAGTTTTTTCACAGCCTGACAAACAGTTGCCCTAATGATGCGTTCACTGTCTCTAATGAACTAACATTGGGCAAAAATCCACCGAAAAATAAAGCATTTTTTTTCAGTATCAACTTTCTGTCACTGTAAAGTAAGTGAACTATATTTCAGTGGATTTCCTTCAATGCCAAATCTTATTTTTGATGCCAAATCTTATGCCGCTGCCGAAGAATCAAAGGGCATTGCATGAAATTCGCTGCGGTGATGATGCAGATCTACAATGTGTTATATTTGATATATGTGTATGGAACAGATCGTTAGATAAATTATAGAGTGTGAGGCAAAATTGTATCTTTCATATACACACTCATCCAGGAATGATAACATGTCCAAACGGGGTCTAATCACCATCTCTTTACACAACAGTCTCTGAATCATTTGTGCCCCAGTGTCCAAGACTCTATTCACAAAAGGACACATGGTGTTTCTCCTTCCTGCTACACGCCAAGGCTATTCAAGAGAAGGCTGAGACACGGGGTCAAACATGGGGGGATTGCACATGCGCAGTGTAACTTGAGCTGCAATGCTGGAGGGTGACAGCAGGGGCGCTAGATAAAAAGCGCAGGATCCGCTCAGGCGATCAAGGAGTGCGCTTGGTGCGATCTGCTTGGACTTTTGGACGGCATGATATGCATGCACACATAGACATGCACATCCCCCTTGTTCCGCATGTTTGACCCCGTGTCTCAGCCTTCTCTTGAATAGCCTTGCTACTCGCCAAGGCTATTCAAGAGCAAGGCTATTCAAGAGAAGGCTGAGACACGGGGTCAAACATGGAGGGATTGCACATGCGCAGTAAAATCTGGTCTGCACTTCCTCAAAGGCTCAGTAGATGGCGTGAGGCCGCGGAATAAGGGGGATGTGCATGTCTATGTGTGCATGCATGTCATTTTCACAGTTTATTACTGGACTGTCACTGGTGGCCTGCGTTGTGGGTGAGAATGACAGAGATGCAATTCTGACAACTTCAGGCAGCCGCTGTCCAAAAGTCCAAGCAGACCGCACCAAGCGCACTCCTTGATCGCCTGAGTGGATCCTGCGCTTTTTATCTAGCGCCCCTGCTGTCACCCTCCAGCATCGCAGCTCAAGTTACACTGCGCATGTGCAGTCCCCCCATGTTTGACCCCGTGTCTCAGCCTTCCCTTGTTCAAGAGAAGGCTGAGACACGGGGTCAAACATGGGGGATTGCACATGCGCAGTGTAACTTGAGCTGCGATACTGGAGGGTGACAGCAAATATTTGAATACTGGAATATGTCAAAATGTGTCAATAAGGTCTTTTTTTTAATATCATTTTAATTTGTCTTTCTTCCTTAATAAAGTAGCTAACCTTAACTAATGCCTCTGGTAAAGAACTAGGGCTGTTGTCATTGGTTTTGTTTCTGAGAATCATCCTTCAGCGTAACAGTAGATATTATCACAATATATTTTGCTGTTAAGCCAGAGCACAGATTATCAGTTTTGCCATAATAGTTAAATTCTATTGCAAAAACAAACATTTTCAAATCATTCATAAATTCCCAAATGTAACCAAAAACACAAATTGACCATGAAACAAACATCCCCCTTATTCCGCAGTCTCACGCCATCTACTGAGCCTTTGAGGAAGTGCAGACCAGATTTTACTGCGCATGTGCAATCCCCCCATGTTTGACCCCATGTCTCAGCCTTCTCTTGAATAGCCTTGCTACACGCTCAGCGGGCGATTAGCCTCAAGCTTAGATGAAGCAAACCTACCAGCCAGCAGGTTTACTTCATGGAGTGTGTTGCCATAGTAACTGACTTAGGGTTACACTGAATTGGCTTTGTTTGACTGTGGCAAGAAATCAACAAATGGGACCATTCTGATGTGATTATTAAAAAGATATCATCATTAAAATGTTGAAGTTTTGAATATTAGTTGCCTTGTTGTGTTGTGTCTTTGCACTTTATCTCTGGATCTCAGAAGTTGCATTCTTGTCACCCGCATATGTCATGGTGCAGCCTTAAGACCTGCATGAAATGATCTTTTTTTTTTTTTAACAATAGATGGCATGCTGATCATTCTCCAGTGACAGTCCAGTATGGGTCATCCTAGATCAGTGACGTGCAGCATCACTAGGAATGCCCCTATGTCTGGGGGGTGACATACTTAGCCCTGTGACATCGAATCTGAGAGTGCATCAGGTCACAAATAACGCGCAGGGATAAGAATCTCCAACTGCCCTGTCTGTGCCCTTGATTTTTCAAATGATAAATATGACTTCATGCTGACATAAAAGTCTAGTCAACATTCAAGTTATTCAAGGAAGTTTGGACAGACATATTTACTCTGTTCTTCAAATGTTTAGGTAAGCTGTGTAGTGGCTTGGGTCATTTGATAAGGGCAAAAGCGCCACACTTGCTTCCTCACAGACGTCAGTTATGAGGAAGCAAAGTGACTTAATATCAAAGTGTGATCGTTGAAGTAAAAGTACACCCTCTTTGATAAGAGCAGCAGCCTTTTATGTCATCTGTTTTGGGAAATTTAAGTTGAACTCTCCCAAAAAGCCACGTCTCAAGTGTCTGAACCAAGTTCAGGCCAAGAACAACAATAGGGATTAAATTTGATGCCGTTACACAATGCCATTGAAAAGAATACTCACTGGAAATGTTCCACATTATTAAAATAAAAACAAAATGACAACAGATTGACATCAAATCATTTTAATTTAGAGATGCATAAGATCAAGAGCTCACAGTTCTGTCACGTGCAAATAGTGTGAGGCTGAAGGGAAAAATGGAACATAGACAAATCGTTGTGATAAATAACGGTGTTCACTCGACTGAGCGACTCCTCAATCCTTCATTACACCCACTATGGAAGCAGCATGGTCTCGTTTAGTGTTCAGCTCGGCAATGTGGCTACATCTCATCTGCTGACAGTATCTGCACCAGTGAGGACAAAATAAAATCAAGGTAACAAAAAAAAAGGGAATAAATAAAAGGAAAAATCTCAAATTAAAATCTAATTAACACAGACTTCAGTTTTAACCCTAGGCAGATAAAGGCTAGCAGATTTTAGAGTAACTAAATACTGACACACACTGATTACACTGCAGGATTTGTAAAGTACCATTACTACATCTTCCCGGTAAACTTGTATAGATAGTGCATCCCTTTGTCAGGTGCCTGAATGTAGCTTTGGCAGCTTAGAAACAGACTGAGCTATGCCTGACATCTCAGCAGAACATGCTGAATTCTTCATCACATTTAACATGTATTAACCAAGAGGTGCAAACATACACAACAGATTAAAATCTGACTACAGATAAATAATTGCTTACAGCTGGAAACAATATGAACTACCGCTAAGAGGAAGGCAGTCATCATATATATTATTATTTTCCTGATAACAGTATTAATAATGCATAGAGCTACGTTGG